TTCTGACAAGGAATGCAGGACCGTAAGCACTTTTGACTTGCTCTCGAAGCCGCGGAATCCAGTATTTTTGCCTCACTTTCCGCCATGGTATGCCCTGTGCTATTGTGATGTGGTCCATGTGCTTCCAATACGATCAGCCGACAGAGATCCGTATTAGGCACAATAAGAATAGGGTTCCGTGCTGTGACGCTCAGATCGGCCCTGCTCAGGCGTCCATATGCTCGCAGTATATGCTTCTCATCTTCCTTTGCGTTTAGGGTCTTGAACAAGTTTTTCCTATAATCTGGCTGTAAGTGTACTGCTTGGTGATTTCTGATCATTACATCGTGAGCCTCGCTTATATCAGAAGCTGTCAAATGTGGCTCTTGAATGGGTTCACCAAGACCAGGTAGGGCATTCCGTAGTTTGCTACGAAGAGGGTCCTTTACGCGAGCGGTGACGTTTCTAATGAAGCGGATGACATATGCTAGGACTCTAAGAGATTTGGTCTTACTGTTATATCTCTTTAGATCCAGTATATCGTTGACACGCACTTCACTGGACTTGGAAACATTGACTTGCACGGAGGGGGCAGGATCTTCCTCGAGTTCCCCTGTTTCTTGAGGTATAGAGAAGAAACCTGATGCAAATCCATCGTTGTAAATACTTCCGAGGGGATATCCTGTCCACCACACGTGCGACGAGAATTCCTGGGTTGAAATTCCCCGTGTCCCTATGTCTGCCGGGTTCCATTTGGTGTCAATATATCCGAATTTCACATCGACTCCAGAATCCATAAAGGACTGTACGATTTCGCGTATCGCACGTACTCTATTTGTTACGTAAGGACCATTTTTGTCACGCTGAGGACTGTTCTGAAGCCACTTCAACACTATTTCTGAGTCAGTTAGGAATAGGACACTTGTAATACTTATTGATGACTTCAGGCTCAGAAAGGTGTTGAACGCTAGTCGCACCCCAATTGTTAAGGCGTTCATCTCCTTTTTGGGTATTGTAATCGGATGTTTGTTGTCAGGCAGCTTCGATTTTGCCATTAGGAAGCTCGAATTGCTGTCGCTAGTAAGATAGGTGCATGCTGTCATTGCAATTGCACTCGCGTCCGAGTATGTTACTAGCGTATATGACTCCACTCCTTCCTGTGTGCTCCTTCTCGGTAGGTCTTTTTTGAAACTCGACATGTCCCTGACGATCCAACTCCACTGCTGTTTATGCTCCTCGCTCAGTGGTTCATCCCAGTCGTAGTTATGCTTCCATAAAAGCTGCTGGAAGTGTTTCGCTTTCACCAAGAGAGGAATAAACCATCCAAACGGGTCATATACCGATGCAATTTGTTGAGCGATCGTGCGCTTACTGACGAATCCGTCGTCATGTACATTTACATGCAACGAAAATTCGTCGGTGATCGAGTTCCATGCGATTCCCAGCACTTTGGGCGCTGTATTTGGAGACCGATCAGATACCGCTACTGCATCCATGACTTCAGGGCTGTTCGTTACAAAGGTCCTCAGATTCATCTTGAGGTCATTGAATATCGCCTTCAAGACTTTATACTTCGCTATACCTTCGGTTGCCGTGTTTACCCCGATGATGAGGTTATCGACATACAGATTTGTTGCGATTTCATTGGCCAGTGCTTTATCCTCCACATAGTTGTTCAGATGGTAGTGGATTGTTGCACTCAGCAGAAATGGTGAAGCGTTGATGCCAAAGGTTACTCTCTTGAACCGGTAGGTAATCACGTTATCATCTGTCAATGGCTTTGTGATATCCCTAATCCATAAACATTCTTCGTCTGAAGTCCCTATCGGCTTCATGGAGATGTACCTGCAGAAACGCTTTTTCGACATCCGAGGAGCAGGACATACTTCGCTGTGCGGAAGCGTAGCAGTATTCCGTATAGTTTAGGGAGTATGGTAGGTCCTTGATGCACTACATCATTCAATGAGGGGCAATGCTTGTAGTGAGCTGACGCATCGAACACTACTCTGAATTTGTTAGTGGTCTTTCAATGGAGTGATCACGGTCGGTGATGGGGAAGGTAATGCTTCGGTTCCCGAAACTCCGTCCGTAGATTCGTCCACTTCTTCCAGAATGCCTTTATTCAGTTGATCTTGGAACAACGTCCTGTACTGCTTGAGAACACCTGGTTTCTGCTTCATATTTACGCAGCAACACTTTTCAGGGATGTAACGCCAAGGTTCTGTTGTTTGGCAAGGGGTTTATGCCGCTCTTTAAATGGGATGCGAACGACGTAGCCATTATCGCGCTTCTCGATAGTGCTGTTAAAGTGTTCCAATACTCCGTTGTTGATGCGAGCTCTTTCTTCCCTCTCTGGACCGCCGTACTCTTGTTCTACCTCCTGGCTTTGCGTATTCCAGTGGTCCTCCCAGTAGTCATCGTTCTCATGTGATTCTACGGAATGGCACTGATAACATATTGATTTTCTTTTCGCTTTTCTTCACTTATGCATTTCCCAGAAACCATGTAACCCATTCGTGTGGGTACAAGTATGAGTCCGGATGGCATTTTGAAATGTGGAGCTTCAAACTTGATGAAATCCCATAGCTGATCGCAGCCTATAAGGATCTCAGGAGGACGTAAGGTTCCGTCGTGTGTGGTGCTGAGCTTTATGCGCTTCTTCCGAATGAACTTCAGATCTTCCGGCCGAAGTTGTCCTCCAGTGAAATTTTTTGCAAGATTCTCATGAGTATAGAGTTGAAGCTTATGCTGTTCACCTTCGGAATCCCATATGCTCAGGCATGTATTGAAGCACTGAATTTCCTTTGCAGTCTCTGCTCCAAAGGTTCTCAGTTTCATGGTGACAACACCATGGTGAGCCAGTTGAAGATCTTCGGCTAATTTAGCATCAATGAAGCTACGATCTGCATCTGTATCCAGTAGGAATTGAAGCTTTATAAGCTTTTTTGTTTTCGGATGTAAGGTTCGCAGAGATCCTGTAAGGAGGAATATCTCTCCTTGCCGTGTTCGTTTAGATACATCCTCTACTTTCATAACCGTGAGGCTCTCGTTTGTTTCCTGGCTTTTACCCTCGTCAACTTCACTATCGTCTTCCTCACATAGAGTGAGATTTTGCCGAGCATGAGCTGGCTTTTGCTTTTCTGCTTTTTTCCGATCAGGTCCGGTAGGCTGTGGTGCCGGATTAGCAGCAGCAGATTTAAAGCAAATGGAGGTGTGGTGCTTTTTCCCACACCGCATGCATCCTCTAGCTTTACACTCTGCGAAGATGTGTGTTTTTGACCCACAACCTATACATCGGCTCGCCTTTTTTAAATATTCTAACCGTGCCTTAGGGGATGTTATTTTACTACATGCTGTGGACCAGTGGTCTCTGCTATCGCAGTAGAAGCAAATGGAAGGCGTATCGCCTGAATTTGCGGTTTGACAGGCAACGGTTGTTGGGTATTTTCCAGTTTTTTAGGCATATGCTTCTCGATTTCCTCTTCCTGTTTGATTACGTTATCAAGCGTGGTCATGAGTTTCATCAATGTCCACGTCTCGGTTGGTGCCAAGGAGACCTTTTCTTTCAGGGTACTCCTCTGAATGCTCTCTTTGAACTTCGCAAGAATTTTGGATAACAACCAAGGGCTATCGAGGGATTCACCTTTACTCACAAGTTGAGCTGTTATAGTTGATAACTGGTCATGGAGCTTGCGCTGATCTTTCAGTTGCGTGCTCCTTGCGGTCCAGTTCTCCAACTGACGGTGTAGCCCGGTAATTATATTCTGGACATTTCCATACCTCTCTTTGAGGTGGGCTACTGCAAGGCTATAATTGGCCGCGGTCACTTGAAATCGTGCCACTGACTCGAGAGCTTCCCCTTTCAATGCTCTCAGAAGATAGTTGAATTTTTGGAGATCTGGAATCTGCAGGGAATGCACTGTTGCGTCGAAGAGCTCCCAGAAGTTATCCCATTGCCAGCTTTTTCCACTAAACTGTGGTAAAGGAATTTTTGGAAGCTCTATTCAAGTTGCTGAACTCCCACCATTGAATTGGTGGCCCGCTGGAATGTGCTCAGAACAGTGGGGAAATTATCCGGCTTCTGGTGATCTCGAGCCTTACAAGCAATGCTACTGCATCCGAGATCGTGTTCTGAGCATTATTTATGTATTCCAAAATTTTTCCCTCTTCTTCTTTCGTAGGTGCAGTCTCAAGGTCATCTACAGTCTCGGTAAATTCAAAAAGAGCTTTTTCGAAAGTGGTTTGAAGCGCCTTGATTTCTGCTTCAGCACAACGAATATCACTGAGAACTGCCTTACATGCTTCTCTGTCCTCAAAATCTAGGTTATCACCCAAGGTAGAGTACTTGAGTATGCTCACTGAAAGGGTCTTTGAATGCTTGGTTAACACCCCTTTCCTTGCTGCTGTAGATGTTGCCATTTTCTGGCTTCACAAGCTCGCTGACCGATTCTTGGCAAAACAACGTTTTTTTATGCACCCGATCGTTAGTCGATATGAGGGTGTATGGGAAATCAAGAGAGTCAACACTGTACAACTGTTCTCGCTATGCACATCAACAAGCTTCTATTCTACGAAGCAGTTAGCATGCGAGCTGTTTTGAATAAAATCGCACCTGATTTTGGCAGCTGATAAGCTTCTTCACTGAACGGTCCGGCCTTCTTTCACGAGATACGGCCGATGCACCAGCTGTGTTAACGGTGGCTCAGTGGTATACCTCAAACTTGGGTAATTAAACTTTATAGCTGTTGTAACCGAATACAAGGCACATACACATAAAGGCACATATTACTACTACAAATGTATTATGAATACTAAGGAATATGAATGAATACTGTAACTATCGATATTACAATCAAGAGAGTATGGAAAGAACAATACAATGTATAGCGAATAATGCAATGAACAATACAGTGAGACAAAGTGAGATACCTAGTATAAATGAGAGAGTTACAATAAGAAATGCTATAAGATAAAGTGAGGATGCTCTATGCTCTAATGCTGAATGCTCTGAACCCCCCATGCTCTGAAGACCCGCATGCTCTGAGGAAAGGGAAGAAAATGGCTGTGGACGCTCCCACCCCTCCTTTTATACCCAGCTCTCGGCAGCTCGGGTTATCTATGCTGTGATCTAGTGAGGAACGCGTGAGAAGCGTCCTACAGACATAAACATTTCACTGTACGATTGCAACCCTGCCTCACTGTATGCTCTGGTCACCTCAGTGACACTGATTAGACCGTCAGAAATGCCATTGACGCTGTTCGCTTCCTCGCAGTTCTGTCATGCTTCTTTCAAGTTTCAACTTCATTACTTTATCGTCATCGTTTCCTTAAGTGACCTTTCTAAAATGCTTCATCACGTTCCACATCTTTGTTTTTTCACCTTCACCGCGTTTATCGCACATGGTGCTTTCGTACCTAGATCCCATCTCACTTCCTCGTTTCAGAAAACTTGCGTAAACCCGACAACTTATTTTTGCGTTCTTTCTGTGTGCCTTATGGACAACGAACCTCCTCCTGAGGAGTCACCACCCGGTGAAATTATCCAGGTATTCTTCAGTTCCTCGATGCGAAGCATCCGAAACCACGATTTCTTGTGATAGCCGTGATACTGCATCTCATGAATCTTCTACGTTTAGCGAACAGGTTCTTGACGTTACGAGTGTCAACCGATGCGATGCATCCGATACTCAGATTTCATGTGATCCCCCAATGGACACTTCGGAGCCCATTGGTGAAAATTCTTCTTTGGCCGGGACCGATCCCATTCAGTCACCGGAATTTATTACAGGTACTACAGCCGGTGACCCGCTCATGGCCCCTCAGCCGATGACTCGAGTCAGCCAGACGACTCTCGCTCACAGGATCTTTAAGCGTCCGATCTTCTCCACTCATCTATGGATTTCTCCCCTCCCCCCGGCGTCGTTACGCAAGGCTTGCAGCGCACAGGACCTCTCACCTCTGGCGGAGGAGCAGCCCCTAGCGAGCATGACCGCCTCGATGGAGCAGCTCAGCGTGGCAGCATCCGTGCCACCCCCTTCCCAGGTTTCTTCTCGGGTCAGGGGCTTACCACCCTCTCCATCCGCCACCCCAGCTAAGGCTCAACGATCGTCTTCTAGTCACCGTAGATCCTCGGTGTCCCAGCCCCTATCCTCTACTCATAGCAGGGCGGCTTCTTCCTCCTCGTCTCATCGCGGCTCCACTCGCGGTCGGGTAGCCGCCGCCCCGAGGTCGGCAGCACGTACTTCCGCCCCACCCAACCCCCCTACTCGTGGCACACCTGCTGCCAGAGGCGCTGGCAACGAGGTCGCGGCGCTCCGCGGCGTGGCGGCCTCCTGCCCCAGGTCCATACCAGCCAGCTTCCAAGGAAAACGCCGGATAATTTCTCCCATTATTTAATCGACCAGCACCCGTGGCTCGCTGGGGCAATCCGCCCGATACACCGGCTACGGGACAATGTTCGTCCGGTGACGCTCTCCCTTGACACCGCCGTTTATCGTCATCTACCTGGCTCAGGCTACATGAACATCCGTTTCAATAAGTCCCTATTCCCTCAGGTGGTCTTCGTTCGGATCGACCCCCAGCGGAAGTCCCTTTTATTGAGCTCCAGCACCTGGAGGATACGATAGCATTTCGTGCCTGCTCCAAACAGGTGCTGGACGCTCTCCTGGATGGCACATATAAAGAGCCAGATATGGGCGACCTTGAGCCAACCAATATGTCGGTCCATCCTTCTGCCCTGGTACCACCCATCTGGAATGGTATACGTCCCGTACTCTACCAGATCGTCTCCACGGGTTGGGGCACCGGCGTAGTTCTAGAAGCCAAAGACTTCTTTACCGTCGAGCCCGACCGCCGGGATCTCCACTGCATCACCCTCGATAGGTTCGCCATCGAGATCCTTGAATGTGGCCGTGGCTTTAACAAATCTTTGGTCTCGATCAAAGATTTTGTGTGGGTTTACGATGTAAAGCCCACCCGTCAAGCCCTGCAGTCCCCACAGGCAGGAAGTTTTGAAGCGGGCTTCCCGACCCTGCACTACCGCACTTACTACCTCGTGCGTATACTTCTTCAGAGTAGCGCACTTCGCTCTTGTGCCTCCCCATAATCAGGAAGAGCTCGTTTACGGCATGGTACTCTCCTTAGTTTCCCGTCGCGACCGCATCACGCAAGCAAAGGCTGCATTCGAGGGCTGCCCGGGGCCTGTGACCTTTTCAGCCACGATCGCCAACTTTCCTCTGGGCAATCTCTCCAAGTACGACATCATCACAGCTCACGCGCGTCACAATGTCTCTGCAGCGATACGCTTTTCCGAGCCACCTGTGTCGCTTGCGTCGCGCACAAAGCTTGCCGACTTAGTCCGTCGCTTTTTGCCAATGCACCCCGAGGAAGGAATCATGCTTCTCGCGGTATCATTACCCCTTCCCGCAGATCGCGACTGGTTTGCTGACCGCTTAGGCCAGTTTAACAACTATCACACTGACCCCGCAGCCTCCAGGACCAAGCTCGCTAAGCTCTGCAGCGCTGCCTGCTCGGCCCTATCCGCTGTTAATGCAGTCGATGATGACCGACAAACTCACACGGTTGTCGCCTATGCAACGACCCCTATATGGTTCCCGCACCGGCTCCTGTTTCGTCTTACCGACATGGCTTCCGAAGCCGGTTGGTCCCCTGGTCGCCACGCCGTTGTTTGGGTCTACAACGCCCACAACCTCATACAGGTCAAAATCGTCGCAGTCGTGGCCCACCCCATCTCGAAAATTCTGGACGTCACACTGCAACCGTTCCTATGGTCCCACGGTCCTCTTGATCGCGCGCTCACCCAGCACGGCCGCGTGGTCGACAACGTCCCTGCGGCCCAGATAATGGTCCGGCTCATGGAGTCATCCGCAGCGGCCAATCCCATATACGAGCTCGTTGCGCGCCTGCGCATCTTCCCCTCTTTTACACCACAGTCCAGGGGCGGAGAGATCGTCGACATCATCTTCTCCAATAAAGCGCTCGGCACCTCCGACGAGCGATTCCTGCGCGATGTCCCACCCGCGTCGGACGCTGACCGTTCCTTCCTGGTACGCGGCCGGAGGCTCACACTTACCCCGGACCAGAGGGATGCGGTTCGCATCGGTTCCGCCCAGCTGCCGATCGTAGCCATCCAGGCTGCCTACGGCACAGGAAACCCTGATCGGCGCCCTGATCGCGGCCCTTTCCGCTGACCCTCATGCCACTACAATCGTAACGACGTCTACTAACGCAACGGTCGCCCAGTTCACAGAAACACTTCTGGAAACACTTCTGTCACTCAGCGATTTTCCAATGCTTAGGGTCGTCCGTCACATATCGGATACCGCTGCCGCCGCCAACCTTACCCCAACCGCGGTTGATCTCAATAAGGTCCTCAAGGCCCTCGGGAACGTGTACCGCGATCAGCTCGACGAAGAGGACCGCTCTTTCTGTGCCGATTTCAAGAAATGCCTCGATGACCCCGATCTCATACCGGATATGTCGGAGAACGACAAGCAAGAGTATGAGATCGCCGAGCAGTACGTTTCACGTACACTCAAGCGTATGGCCCGCCTCCTGTTTAGGATTCATCGCCCTAATGTAATCTGTATGACCACGTCCTCCCTCTTGAACTCGACTGAGGGTACAAGCGGGATATTCAAGCGCTACGTTCAGTCCTTCCGTTGCGTTATTGGGGACGAGGCGTCCTAAATCCCGGAACCGGCGCTTCTCACCATAATTGCCCGGTTACAAGACGCGCGGCACGTTTACAGAGGCGACGTGCACCAGCTCGCCCCGCACGCCAAGTGTCCCCGCGAGTCCAACCCAGCTGTCTTTGGTGCTCGCAGCGTCATGAGCATTTTGCTCCACGCGCCTGCGGTACCCGTCGCGCCGCTCGTTACCACATTTGGGTCAAATCCCGCGCTGCTCCCTAACCGCATCGCTTACGACGGAGCTCTGGTGAGTGGCACTCCAGCGCGCGCCCGGCGGCTCTTGTTGGACCGCATGTGGACCGCACGCGCTTCCCAACTGCCGATGTCCCTTTCATCTTTGTAGGACCATCGTGGGTAATAGTCGCGCCCCCAGCAAGTCCTTCTTTAATGACGCTGAGGCTGGCGTATGCAGAAGCTTCATCCATAAGCTCATCGGCAAAGGCATACCCGCTTCCAGTATTTGTGTAAATACATTTTACAGGGCAATATCGCCAGATGAAAGGAGCTCTCGCCGCGTTACAAGTCGAACTAACCACCGTGGACTCGGTCCATCCAAGGCAGAGAGAAGGAGGTAGTCATTTTACTTACCACTAAAACCGATTTCTCTCCAGATTCGGGCGAATTTCTTGATGACTACCGTCGTCTCAACGTCGCGGTGTCGCGCTGCCGTCGCGGCCTCTTCATTTTTGGTCACGCGGCGTCTCTCCGCACGATTCCGTCGTAGAGTCGCGTCCTCGAATGGGCCGACTCTCTCACGCTGTCATTCCTCCCAGCGCCATAGACCAGTATCTTACCCTTCCCCATTGAAGAACTTGGTGAGCCACTTTTTCTTATTGTACCGTCTCTGCTTTTAAAGTCCGGGACGGACTTTTGGTAAAGGGGGAGGTGTAAGCCACGCCGGCTCAGGCGTGGAATCGGCATTCCAGTGGAATGACTCATGGCTGTACTTTCAGGACGTGACGGCGAGGCGAGGACGAGCCGACATCTGGACGACAGTCGATCATCTACCGATCTCGAGGACGCTCGAGCTTCTTCCCAGTGCCTTCAAAGCGAAGCCCTGCCTCACCCAGAACTGTTGATCTCCTGTTGTTTGTAGTGTCATTATCGTGCCTATTAGCCTGTGTAGTGGATCTTTGCCATTTAATGCACTCTTTGTAAACGCCATTTATACGCTGATCTCATATACTTCATTGATGCCTTAAGGATAAACTTTAGTGAATAAACAGTCTTACGACAGAAGCAGGGAATGCAGCTTCCGCGGTGCGCGCTCACTTACTCTAGGAAACGGCTGGAGGTGCTGAAAAATTGGGAAGGGGCATTCAGAGGCTAAGTGTGGAAAACTAGATTACTGCAATAAAAGTAAAAATAACAAAAATCTGAACTTCTGCTTGAGTATGATGGAAAAGGAACTGCGAGGCAGATGAACCAGTTTCAAGTACGCTAGTTCCATTCGGATGAGGATAATCCCACTTTTGCAAAATAAGTCCTTCAAATCAGTTTAACCTCAGTGCAAAATCAAAGTCAATCAATGGTATTATCCTGAGTTGCCTTCCTTCTATTGTAACACTGTGAATATCAATAAATGATGATGATGATGATGATGATAAAGGGGATTAGCGCCCTGTCTCCAGGACTCGTGTTTGTTATCGGATGTCAGTCAGGTACATGATTGCGTTAATGCGCTGAGCCCATCTGTAGTTTCTGCCATGGTTCATTTATTCTGCTACTCCGCTAACATTTTGTGTCCATTCTGTGCCATTTGAGCTCATTTGTTCCCTTGAGTTGTGTTACGTTTTTGTGGTGTTTTTTGTATACTTTTTCTTTTCTTTTCGCTGTTCTTTTAGTCACGACCTGATTATGGTATCGAGGAATGTAGCGCACCTAGAAGTGCATATAATTAATAAATAAATGCTCCCGCCAAGGTTATAACACTCGACCGAACAAAGTCCCAACATGAAGTAGGACAGACCATCGCGATTAGGGAAGTGCGTGTCGGTGCGGTCCTTCAAATCTCCGGTAGGCGGGGAATAACGCAATGTGCATGAAAGGGGAATTATCAGGAAAAGTCAACACTTGAAAAGGATCGGGAGTAGACCAAAGCGATATACAGTACCATCCTTCTCCAGCGAGCAGGTATGATGCTCGGAATGGTGTTATACCCTTCAGGGAGCTCTTCTAGATATAGGCTCCACATAACCGGTAGTACCCAAGTCTTCCGAAATGAAGCCATTTTTTTAACGGTCCTTTTTCTGCAAGGCACGATTGGCTAGAGTTTTAATCCTACGTTCGATCTCGCTAAATTGAATATCACATCTTCTTGGCCTGAAACTGGCGGCCGCGCCACAGGCGTCGGCGTTAACTTGTCCCTAGAAGTTTGACCTGCTGAACATGAAAATCACATGTGCATAGGAAGTGGAAGAAAATAGATACACGTGACAACGCAGACCGCGCTTCTTTAACTGTCTTAGCACACCGCTTGGCGCGGAGCACGCGGGAGTCCGTGCTTCACCTGCTGAAGTCAAAACAAGCATGTGGTGCAGTGGACACTAACGCGGTCGATTAACTAAACCAAACCGACCAATGCCTTTCGTGATCAGGACACCAAGCCCCCTGTGCAAATTTACCGTAAATTTTGTGAGAAAAGCGGCGGCGATAAATTGACGCCAAGTGGCGCCTAAAACGGCTTTTATGATGATCAGCGCCTCAAATAACCTTCGAAGTTTCAGCAGAAAATTTTTCGAGTTCTGAAGTAGTCATAGTTGAATAGTAATGAGATAGGAAACACTTGATAACATTATGTGCTATCAGTGTTGAGGGTAATTTGCAAAGGATAAGAACCAACAGCCATGGAAGAAAGTCGTCTTTATTTTGCATACTGGAAGTCCTGCAGACTTCACCTATATTTTTAGCGCCTCTCATTCGCACCGTCATTTCGTTGGGTGTCACCGCCACCGCTGATATCTGCGTGGTGACCGGCTGGCTGTTGAATGGGGGTGCCCCGAGTCGCACAATGGGTGTTCGTGGGCACGAAGCCAGCCGTCATGTTGCGCAGACGACCAGAGTGCGCGAGAGACGCAGGGTAGGAGGTGGAGCGGGCAACACGCCAACACACACCGGTCGCAGTTGAAGTTATTGATCGACGGGAGTGCGAGCGTTGTGGTGGAGACGAACGGATCGACGTGCTGTCCCTCCTATCGCCCGACGATCCTGTTATCGATGAAACGAAAGCTGTCGTCGTCTGATGCTGCTGACAACCTCATCTGGCAGGTCGACGAACACCCGCCAGCCGACGAGGCACAGATCGCCGAGCATCGCGGTCCATGCGCCATCGACTACGACTCGTGAGTTCTACCGTTCGCCCTATTCAATTTTGTGTTCTCAGACGCTTACGCCTCTGATGACTGTCTGTTCCGGTCATTCTCGCCGTTAGGCCGCGTTCATAGCTTGCGACCTTGAAGAAAGTGAAGAAGTGCCGAAAGTGCGGAATCTGCAGAAATGCCGAATGTGAAGAAAAGCAATGGATATGTATCGATTTGACTTTCGCACCTTCCGCACTTTCCGTACTTTCTTCAAATCAATACGCATCTAATGCTTTTCTTCACTTTCTGCAGATTCCGCACTTTCCGCACTTTCTGCGGATTCCGTACTTTCCGCACCTTCCGCACTTTCTTCAAATCGATACATATCTGTTGCTTTTCTTCTTATTCGGCATTTCTTCAGATTCCGCACTTTCCGCACTTCTTTACTTTCTTCATGGTCGCAAGCTATGAACGCGGCCTTAGCAAGTTCGATCCTTTTGTTCGTGTTCGCTGGTTGTATTATATTGATCTGTTCTTTTCTCAGTAGCTATTCTTCACTTGAATATTTTGGCAACGTGACTTAGATACCCGGGTGGGCGTGGCCACAGGGGCAAGGCTTCGAAATGGACCGGTGTTTCCCGAATTTGTGCTGCAATAGATATTAGATGGGAGCACCTTTACAATGTAAACGTTCCTATTGTCTTCAAGGTGTGCTTAATGTTGATTTCATGATCATACGTAAGACCTGGTAACCACTTTTTCGCCTCTGCCTAACGTATACCTTTGCAAAAAGCATAAATTCCAATCTAAGTTAATTCTTCCTCTCGGAACTTCTTAGTTCAAGCAGTAGAAACACACAGCTGTTTAATAAGAAGGAAATTATTTTCTCCAAGCTCAGGAAGAAGCGCTGAAGCCTAATTATATCCGTCCACGTCAAGCCCTCGCCCTATTTTGGCCACGCCCACCGGGTATCTAAGCACACGCACCCGAATATTTTCTACTCAATGATCTGGTGAAAAACGATTCACTTCGTTTGCGACTCCAAAACCGCACACATTTGAAGTTCTTCTCGTTGAATCTCAAGATATTGCCGAAATCCGCAATAGAGCTCGTTGGTTATTCGCGCACTAATTCACCGAAAACTAATTGATCATTGGACGACAAATTTCCTTTCCTCGTTTTTTTCGCACTGTTCCACTACTACAGCCCTAAAATAACACAAAAATCATGTACTGAAAATTCATTTATTCACCGTTCCGTACGAATGTGGCATTTCTTTTCCGACGATGGCAAGTAATGGATGTTATTTACGGGAGTAATATAGCGAATTATCCGATGTGGACAAAATTTTCAACATTCTGTTGTTGCAGTTGTTGGAATCTGATCTCGTTCGCTGCTATGCCGTTCGTGCAAGTCGTTTTCCACCTGTAGTAGTCTTTTTTAAAAGTCTTCACCAACTGGTGGAGGACCGGCTGGTAGCATGCTTTATATGTGACATATCCCACTGCAAGATGTACAGAATTCATCGACTTTAAGACGGTATAGGCATTTCTAGCAGTGCCACACCCCATATCCTGTGGATGGGGAATGCGTGGCTGCCGGCTTTTTTCGAACCTGGCTATGTCCTATACTATGTCTTCGTTCCGATGTTTTCACTGTAATCGTGTCTTTGTCGAACGCAGGACAGGATGACAGTACTATTAAGTGGAAGTGTATCACCAGAGATGCATAACACGCCATACTGCGCAGCCACGCCCTCTTTATTTCAGGAATATGGAGGGTATGAAATGGGGGCTCTCTTTCATGATTATGGAAAAGCGCTTCCTTTAACTTCACTATTATTTGCAAAGAAGAGCTTCCATTCTGCAATTAAAGAAATTATTATAATTTTTTTTCAGGATGTTGATGTTAGCCAATGTGCCACCGCTTACCGATGAAATGCGGTTCCGATGTCCTGCACTGCCGTTGCGAACACGATCCACTCCCGAATTCACTCTTGTTTTAGATTTGGTAAGCTCTTTCAGTGAGGTATCAAAGTGCTCTTTTTTATACTGCACATTCCATTGCAGGATGAAACCCTTGTTCACTGCAGTCTGAGTCCACTGGTCGACGCTTCTATGGTGTTTCCTGTCAACTTTCAAAACAACACTTATGAGGTGCAATCACCACTGTCCGTATTCCTTATACAACTTAACTACCTCCTCTCAGGTTTATGTGCGTTTGCGACCGCATTTGCACACGTTTCTGGAGAGGTTATCGGCCAACTATGAAATAATACTTTTCACGGCAAGCAAAAGGATTTATGCCGACAAATTGTTGGTAAGTTGTTATTTACATGGGGAGTCGGTTAATGCTTTATTGAAGCCGATAAAAAATGAGTTTCAGAATTTGCTTGACCCTCAAAAACGATTGGTGAGACATCGACTGTTTCGAGAGCACTGTGTTTGCGTTTATGGCAATTATATCAAAGACCTTTCCATTCTTGGACGAGATCTTTCTCGAACTGTGATCATTGACAACGCTCCACAGTCGTTCGCCTATCAAATCGACAATGGAATCCCCATAGAGAGCTGGTTCCACGAGAAGGATGACACGGAACTTTTGAAGCTACTGCCTTTCCTGGAAAGCCTTCCTAAAGAGGTTACATTTCAAATATTCAACGGAAGCAGCTTTATTTTCAGTAATGAGCATGTGCCTTAAGCTGAATAAGGGGATCCCTCGAGTGTACAAACTAATACGGCACTATTCAACTATTACTACCCCAATTTTCAACAAGCCAGATTCTGACCTACTTTCTTCTAAGAGGGCGGGTTCGGCTGAAAATTCAGTTTTAGAGGTATCGACCTGAACACGAGTATCTCATCCTCATCCGCACGACCTAAAACAGCAGGCGCCGGCGCCAAGATGCTTTAGATCAATTAATCGGCTGAAAACGTTCCCGGGGATAGCTTGGCCTCCTGAACACAATTATCGTATTCGCTCGGCCGGAAAGTGCCTGGCGCCCGCGCCACACGCGCCTGCACCGAAATGTAAGTCACCAGATTTGTTGAAAACTTGTAGACGGAGGTTATCTGACATCCTGTTCACAAACATGGCACTCATTTCTGGCGCTAGCTTATAGGACACTACAAGAATCTACGCTCTGCTAAGGTTAGCCTCGCCTAAAGGGAACAACTTTTTGCCAGGCTCAGCCTTAGAAGACACCAAATGGCGCTTATGTTGAAAAATAAATGTCATTTCCGTAAACATAGCATTAAACAGCCCTATTATGCAGGTTTTCATCGATGATGAAAAAGGGTGTGGCGCCAAAACGACGCACGAAATGGCTCTAGGGCGAAAAATGAATGTCGTATTCGTGATCAGGGTACCAAATCATCCTTATTGGCAAAGTTTCACCAAAAAGTTTTTTTGAGTTTTTGGGGTAGTAACAGTTGACTAGTGCCACTTATACCTGTGTTCACTTGAAACCTGCGAACCATCAGTCCTTTGTCATGCTTCCATTTCAACGTGGACGTTCCTGTGATAGGTACCTCTATCTATCGGTATCTGTCAGGTACGAGCATAGACCTGAACACCTGCTACGATTTGCATTACAGCTCTGACGTTTTGAGCTTGACGCTAAAATATCAGATTTTCATGTAGATGCCAATACCAGAATGTCAAAACTGTTCCAGCAGATGAACTTACATTTATCCCCGGGGAGAGACCTTGTCATGTGCGAGATGAATGGGTCCGCAACTTTAGTAGCGCGCCACTTTAGCCGCTCCAACGTTCACGGAACGGGGATGGAGTCGGTGATACCTAGGTCCGTCTCTACACTCCGCCCGCGCTATCTATGGTGAAACACTTGCTTTGCTCCAAGATCTCGCAGCAAAACACTCATCAAATGGTAGAGAACAACCAGAAAAAAGTGGACACCAACAATTAGCGGGTTTGACTATGGTCAGTAGTGTGACTGGCCGTGCGGCTCTGCGGGCGCAGTGAGGAGACGGCAGTCGGTCATCAGCATCCTCCAGCTCACCCCAGAAGGACAAGGATCGAGAGCGATGGTGTTTTTGCGGTTAACACACGCTTCGCTTTATTTCAAAGCTACAACTTCGTGGCCTCTTGTTATAGCAAATGCTTCAATCAACGAGAATGCTCGGCACCTATGCTTTTGTATTGATGTCCATGAGCTCATAGAGTGATGATATGGTTGCTTAGTGAGGATAATTTAAACGAGAACACTAGCAAAGGTTCGACTCACCAAGGGAATTTGAGTGGAGCATTCGGTAAAAAGGAGGAAGCAGTACACGAGCAGCGTTGGTAGCGCCAATGTAGATGGCCGGGGAAACGGGGGATCGCAGTTATTTCCTAGCTAGACGACTTGACACTCTGCAGCATGCCGATTTAAATGAGTGGTTGCGCTGCAGTAGTGTTCACGCCTCCCTGTGCATTTTGCTACCGTCAGGACTGGAGCTTCTGCTTTATCTCCAATTAACACTTTTGATCCAATTTTCGACATACTTTTGGATCAGCCATCAATCACAGTTACCAATCGTGTTCTTCGCATTCATTGAAAAAGTTGTTACGTATGTAATTTCATTCAAAACATCAGAAAGTTAGATTATTCCTCTAATTAGTCTCTTGATTTCTCCTGGACTAGCACCACCGCACTTCTTCCGATAGGAAGTGATTGATCTTCGTGCTGAGGTCGGACCACCATAACACTTGAGACAAATTTCTAGCCAAACCGCGATCTGGATCCAAACTTTGGAAAAGGCTAACGGTTAATCTGGCTTCCAAATTTGTTCATAAGTGAACTTCTAAATTATGTGGCGCAGCAGTGAAATTCCGAGTCAAAATCTGCAACTGGGACAGTACTAGACAATGAAGCCTCGATTAAAGCCTTACCACCGGAGGCGTACCATACACGGGGGGGGGCAAAAAAAAACTTTTTTCTTCCTTGATATTCGAGGCGCTGTAAGTTACACTTTATTGAATTCTTATCGGATATTTTCACCACCATATTAAAGAGCATATCAAATACTATTATGATACTCCGCCACAGCTTTCTGGAGGAGCGCCATCGAGAGATTCTGCCACGCGACCGTCAGTGGGTGCGTGAGTTCAGCGAGATCGTTGATTTCTCCGCCACTGTAGACCACCCTATTGAACGCCTCCCGTACTAGGTAATTGAGGGGGTTCGGGGCAGATGACCTGCTTGAATATTCCACCTTCCTCAGGTACTCAACGCCCCTCTATTCCAAGTAGGCGAGTGTTTCGCCAACGCCCTTCGATTTCATGTGGTGGCACTCAATGCTGTAGCAGTACAAAGTTTCCAAGGAGGTACGGGCGACGACATGTGGGGTGGATATTCTTCTCGAGTTTCTCGATGTAACCGCCTCACCTTCAGCCCGTTGCCCGCGAAGAAAATATTGGTCTCTCCATTCCAGGTACGTCCGGTCCCTACCATAATCTGGCGCCTTGGCGAGGGGTGAAGATGATGTCCTGGACCGTAGCGACGTTGAGGAGCTGCTCGATGATGGAGGTCTTCCAGATCGAGAGTACTGGTCTCCAGGTAGCTATCCATGGGTGACTCCATACTAGAAGTTTCGCAGCTGTTTGGAGGTGACATGAGTTCCGAAGGTCTTCTCCGGTCAGGTTGCGGCTGGAGATGACCTCATATTTTGGTGTACATGAAGGTGATGGGCGAGCGCCAGCTCCTGCTCATAGAGTAACATCTTGGGTATCCTACGGCCTGGTACTCGTATCCACGTTCTATGTCTGGGCTGCGAAAACTTTGCTGATATGTGACTCGGTCGAAATGTCTTTTTTTTGCCCCCCTCCCCTGTATTTTATTCACGTGGTTCAAAATGGGAAATACATGCATCGCAAAACGGATTCTGAATGAATTCCGCTTCAAAGAAGTTGAAAATGAAGTTCGAACTAGGTGCTACTGCCAACTATAATGAGAATACAAAAGAAAACCCAAAAATAACAACTGATGAGTGTTCCGCGAAGATATGCTTTGGGACGGTCGAATAAATTTCCAGTGATGTATAGAGAAGAGAGAAATAGTGAAATTTATCCTTGGAACTCACTTTTTCTTTTAAAACGGGCGAAACAACGGTTAGCCAGTCCGTTCACAGTAAGGTAACATCGTCATTATCAGCCTATACACAATCTGCGAAAGAATTGTGCACATGGGGCAATCAAAAGCTTTCTTTCAGAGTCACCTTGGGGTATTACCTCGAAGACACGTTCAGCGGTGAGCAGATGTGTCAGACTGAGCAGGTATCATGAGTTCTTTAATGGTGCGCACTCCTTAAATGGTAAAGACGGTGCGCCAAACTGAAAGACACAGTACTTTCGAATTTCCATCAATTTGGTTGTCGTAGAATGTATTGAATTTCCATCAACTTGGTTGTCGTAGAATGTGTCTTTGAGTGACTTTCAAAATAGGGAGCGGTATGTACAGCGCGCCGAAGATGGTAATAATGAAACGGAATTCTCTTCTGGGTCAAATACCTTTTTCCCGAATGCAGCCTCCTGTAGCGTTATGGAACCCACCATCATGCTGTGCTGTGACTTAACGCGATCATAAATGACTTGCAGGTATCCCCTGCAAGTCATTTATGATCGCGTTTAAAGACAGCTCCCGCGATGAAAGTCTCATGGATAGCTGCTTTCCAATTATGAAACAGCAGCTGATTAGTAATCTCCCAAAGAAGAAAACAGACAAATCTCTCTATCACATCTCGCAGTAGTTGATATCATCTAGTGCAAAAAAAAGAATACAAAAAGAAAACAACAAAAACGCAGAGGAAAAACCCTGGGAAGGAAAAAGGAATTTTATCAACACGGTGTCTGAATTTGTGATTACGGTAGCGCACCTTTTGTGCGTCGTGGTTTTGCATCACGAAAATTGCGTCACTCGTGTTTTTTACGCGTTTCACCTCGCGAAATGGGTTGAAAATTGAATGTATATACCTCCAATGAGTAAACTGTTATGAAGGAGAGCAGAATTATCCAGGGGCACTAGCAATGCCCGCCGCTCCAACTAATAACGAGTGGCCTCCGTCGGAGGACATCTAGCAAGTAAAGGCGGTCCGACTGAGGAGGAGTTAGAACTAGAACTTAGAGCGGCTATAGCAGGCTCCACGCTCACAATAGAGTCGCGAAGGGTGGACAGTCTTCTAGCTTGGAGGCTAGACTACTTGCACAGCAAAGGCGACCACGAGCCACTTTGATCGCGGGGGCTGTCTTTAATAAGTCACTACGATTCTGAATGGGAGTTGAACGTGCGCCGCATCCCAAAAAGGGTTGATCAATGGCGAAGACTTCATCCTTTAGGCAGCGTTCAGACTTCGCCATGGCGGATCCTCGGTCGCGCGTTCAAGGATCGTCGCTCGCGCAAGCGTACAACTCTGTAGCGCGACTGATTAGGTCACCCTCCAGTGCTAAAATCGACTGGACCGATGCTAATGCACATCCGTATACAACACAGGAAGCCGTTCGGCGAGGCCGGATTGCCATTGGGGTGCCGGCAGTAATTGACACCCTTAGCCCGCCGATGCGACGGGTATCGTGTACAGGGCAACTCGTCCACGTTTATTAATATCTTGATCGACTATGATCGACTACGCTGGCATTGCGCCAACATAGACGATACATTGCGTGCGAATCTCCTACTTAACCATCTTCATTAGATTTTGAGA